TTTTTTTTTTTTTTTGAGACGGAGTTTTGCTCTTGTTACCCAGACTGGAGTGCAATGGCGCGATCTCGGCTCACCGCAACCTCCGCCTCCTGGATTCAGGCAATTCTGCCTCAGCCTCCCGAGTAGCTGGGATTACAGGCACGCGCCACCATGCCCAGCTAATTTTTTTGTATTTTTAGTAGAGACGGGGTTTCACCATGTTGACCAGGATGGTCTCGATTTCCTGACCTCGTGATATACCTGCCTCGGCCTCCCAAAGTGCCAGGATTACAGGCTTGAGCCACCACGCCCGGCCCAACAGTTTTTTTACATGACTGCGCATACCTAAGCATAAAAATGGGCAATATTCCCTGTACTTTTGATTCTATGTACTGAAGGTTCCTGTGTCACATAAACTATGGTCAAATACATTTTTATGTTCTTTTTCTATTAATTTCCTTTTGTCAGTGATTTTCAGTGAACCTTGAGGGTGAGAAGGGAAAATTTTCCTTTGGGCCCTACAAAAGTAATTTTATCTTTTTTCTTATATATTAAAGAGAACTTAGTAGAAATTATTTCAACATTAGAGCTATATCCTAAAGTGGATGACATTAAGATATATTATTTTAAAAACACGTTTAAATAGAATTTAATATACATTAAAAGCAGACATATATGTCATCACATAATCTAGTTCTTTTTCTGCCTTTTAATTACTGAAAAAGGAGAAAAAGAATTATAAATGTAAAATTTTTTTTTAATTTAAGACAAAGTTCAAGTTATGATAACTATTTTTGTTTTGTATGCATTTTAATCATATATATGTGTGTTTGTAGGTGGGGTGGTCTAACTTGTTTTCTTTTTAATACCTGAGTTTTTAAAGTTGTTTGTAAATAATAGTCTTTTTAAAGGTTTTGTAATTTGTATTTATTTTCTCCAAGTGTATTGTTGCTCAGTTCATTCTCTTACAAATGTCTTCTGAAAAATAGTTCTTAATTTTGACAAAGTGAAATTTGTTAACATACACTGTATGAATTATTCATGTAGTATTATATCTAAGAAAATTTTGTCTAACTCAAGGTCACAATAATTTTATTCTTTTTTCTTAGATGTTTAATTATTTTAATTTTTAAATTAGTTCTACAATTCATTTAGGGTTATTTTCCAATATGATGTGTTATTGTTCAAAGTTCATTATTTTTAATATGAGCATTAAATTGATCCAGCATCATTTATTAAAAAAATATATTTTGTCTAGTGAATTATTTTTGAATCTTTGCCAACAATCAATTAACCTTATATATATGGGTCTATTTTTGAACTATCAAGGCTGCTCCACAGACTGAATTTTTTCTTTATTGTTGCCAGAACCTGTCTTGTTTACTTAAATTATATTATAATTCTTGAAGTCAGGTAATGTGACTCATTTCACTCTGCTTTTTGTTTACAAAATTGTTCTTTGGAGCAAATATTTGGCAAAAATATTCTAAGTGACTTCCTTTCCCATATATATTTTATAGTAAACTTGTTAATTTCTATAAAAATGCATGCTGGGATTTTGATTGGTTAGTATTGCATTGATAGATCAACTTACGGTGATATTGTTCCACTTATTTAAGCCTTCTTCAATTTTTTTACAACAATGTATTACAGCTTTCAATGTATGAGTCTTGCACATCTTTTGTCAGATTTATACCATAGTTTTCAGTATAATAATATTAAAATGGCACCTTTTTAAAAATTTAACTTGTTCATTGATATACAATAAAATTTGCTTTGTATATTGATCTTGTATCCTGCTACCTTACAAACCCTTATTATTTCTGGTATCTTTCCATAGATTCCAAAAGAAATTTATATAGATGACTGGTATGAACAAAGATGTTTTTCTCTGTTTAAACTAAATTTTTTTTATTTTTATTGTCTTATTCTACTGAATAAAACCTTAAGTGTGATGTTGAATAGAAATAGTAAGAAAAAAAACTGCCTTTTTATAGTGTGAGGTTGAAAGCATTAATCTTTAACCTTTAAATGTGCAAAAGATGTTAGTGTCTTTGATATGCTAATGTCTATGGGTGTTATTATTTTAATATTTTAATTTTCATTTTAGGTTCAGGGGTGTATGTGCAGGCTTGTTTTGTAGGTAATCTCTTGACTCGGGATTTTGGTATACAGTTTATTTAATATTTAATACCCCAGGTACTAAGGATAGTACCCAATAATTTTTTTTTTTCTGAATCTCTACCTCTTTCAAGTAGACCACACTGTCAGTTGCTCTCCACTTTCTGTCCATGTGTTCTGATTATTTAGCTCCCACTTGTAAGTGAGAACATGGATAATTTGCTTTTCTGTTTCTGCATTAGTTTGCTAAGAAAAGTGACCTCCATTTCCATCTATGTTTCTGCAAAATACATGATCTCGTTCTTTTGAATATAGACATCAAATTGGTGGAGCATCATTTGTTAAAAGATATTTCTCCACTGAATTTCCTTGAATCTTAATCATGGGGAATTCTGGAAAAAATATTTTTAATGTTATAATTGGTATGATTTTTTAAGCAAATATTTAAAAGTCAAATGTCATGAAAAAATTCACACCAAGTTTTACAATAGCAAGCCCACCTAAATAGAGAAGACTCCAGATGCATATCACTGCCCTGTTTAAAAGGGGCGTACCTCCTTTAGATTACCTAGTCATCATCACTCTTTATTGTCTCTTGACATCAATAACAAGAACCAGTTTTTATTTCACATCATGCCGTTATTTTCTTAGAGTAAAATAACATTTTTTAGAGAAATATTTTTAACATATGCTTCTTTCCAAAATAGAAACTTGAGATTAATAGACTGTAAAGATTTGACATATTAGTAGAATTGGGATATTTTGTTGTTGTTGTTGAAAGAAACAATAATTCTACATGTTCAATATGCAAATAATGTCTGTGACATTTCTTTTTAGTGTATTAGGAATACTTAACATGAGGGCTACCCGCTATAATTTTTGACTATACAATATAGTATTGTTAACCTTATGCATACTGAAACTATACCCACTGATCCATTTCTCCTCCTGACCCACCTGCCCCTGGTGACTACCATCCTACTCTCTGTTTCTGTGAATCAGACTATTTTAGATATCTCATGTAACTGAGATCATACAGTGTTTATCTTTCTGTAACTGCCTTATTTCACTTAGCATAATATCCTCCAGATTCATCCAATTTCTCACATCTGACAGGATTTCCTTCTTTTACAGGCTAAATAATATTCCATTGTTTATATATGCCACATTTTCTATACTCAGTAATCCATCAATTGACATTTAGGTTTTTCTACTTCTTAGCTGTTGTGAATAATGTTGAAATGAACATGGGAGTGTATATCTCTTTCAAGATCCTGATTTTAATTCTTTTGTATGTATGGAACATATACTCACATGTGAGTTTGCTGGATCATATGGTAGTTTTATTTTCAATTTTTTGAGGAATCTCTGTATTGTTTTTCACAGTGGCTACATCATCTTATATTCCCACCAAAACTGTACAAGGGCTCCAAATTCTCACATCTTTGCCAATACTGTATTTGTCTTTCTTTTTGATAATAGCCATCCTAAAAATGTAACATACTATCTCATAGTGGATTTGATTTGCATTTCTCTGAGTGTTACTGATGTTGAACATATTTTCATATACCTATTGGCTATTTGTATGTCTTCTTTTGAAAAATGCCTATTTATGCCACTTATCCATTTTTAAAAGAGTTATTTGGTTTTTTTTTTTTTTTTTTTTTTTTTTTTTTTGCTATTGAGTTGTATAAATTCCTAAATTATTTTGGATATTTACCCTTATCAGAAATACAGTTTGGAACTATTTACCCATTATCAGATGTATGGTTTGGAAATAGGTATTTTCTCCCATTCTGTAGGTTGTCTCTTCACTCTGTTTACTGTTTTCTTGACTATGCAGAGGCTTTGTAGTTCAAAGGAGTGCCACTGTTTGTGTTTACTTTTGTTGCTTGTGTTTTGGTGTCAAAATAGAAAAGCAGTCATTGCCAAAACCAATTTCTCTTCCTTTCCTGGTACTTCTCTAATGCATGAATTGGCTTCTTTGTGGTTTTTCAGAAATCCTTTAAACTTTCATTACTCTTTGTTACTTTATTTTATTTTATTTTTATTTCTCTGATGGATAATTTCACATGATCTTTCTTAGACTTCACTAATTCTGTCTTCTCTTTTATTAAGTCTATTGGTGAACCCCTCTGGTGAATACTTCAGTTTGTTTAACGTATTTTTAGTTCCCAAATTGGTTTGCTCCTCTTTTATAGTTTTTGTCTCCTTATTAATATTATTTTCATTTTGATTATTAATATTTTCATTTTGCTCATGTGTTGCTTTTCTTATTTTGTTTAGTTGCATATTTGTTATCTTGCTACACACTGGGATTCACTAAGATGATTGTTTTGAATTCTTTGTCATGTAATTCGTGAGTATCCATTCTTTAGAGTTGGTTATTAGAGATTTATTTTGTTCTTTGATTGTATCATATTTTCTTATTTTTCATGTTCCTTGTATCTCTGTGCAAGTTTCTGTGCATTTGAAATAGAAAGCTACTTCTCACAGTCTTTTATGACAGAGAAAGATGTTTAATAATCAGCCTTGCTAGGGATTCTGAGAATCTATAGAACCGTTTTTATAGATGGGTCTTGTCTGGATTTGTGCATGTGGTTTTATAATGAGAGATTTTTCTGGTTGTTTTTGGTTCTCCTCCTCCTCCTCCTCCTCCTCTTCCTCCTCCATTCCTCCTACTCCTTCTTCTTTCCTCCTTCTCCTCCTTTTCCTCCTTCTCCTCCTTTTCCACCTCCTCCTCCTTCTCCCTTTCCTCTTCTTCCTCCTTTTCCTCCTCCTCCTCCTTTTCTTCTAAAACGTATAATCTCTTTCTCCCTCTAATGTCTGACCAAAGTACTGCTGACTGAGACATTGGAAGCATACTCTATTCCTCTTGTTCCTTCCCTGTGGGGAAGCCTCAAGTTGTATGCCTTCTTCCAATCTTGCATAGCTTTGTCTAATGCAGCAATATGCCTGCCTGTTTTCTTTGTTCCTAGCTGTCTCCAGGCATCCATACTGTGCCTGTTCCGTCAGTACTCAGGGTGAAGTCAGAGAGAAACTAGGTCCTTGCACAACACATCAAATGGCCAGACTGTTGAAGGCATATTTCACTCCTCTTCCTTATTCCTCGTCAAGAAGCCTCAGGTTCTGCACTTTCTCCCCTTTCTTGCACAGTCATGTTGGATGCAATAAGCCACCCACTCCTTTCCTCTGTCCTTAGCTGTTATTGGACATCCAGACTATGTCAGTTCCATCAGCACTCCAGATGAGGCAAGACAGAAGTCAGTCCCTCCTTTGGGCAGACCACCAACCTGGAGACAGCAGATGCATACCTCACTATGTCTTTTTCCCTCAGGGAGAAGTTACAGGACAAGGTGATTTCACTTGGAGCTGAGTTTTGCCAGACTTGGGGAAATATTAATGCAGGTAAAGTGAAATTTATATTCTTAGCAATTTCAATGTAGCTGTCCTTAACTTTTAGTTGTCCAGGCTACTGCAACTTCTTTACAAAATTCTGGACTACTTAAAAGGGTATTTTGGTTTGTATATTATTTTTAAATCGGTTTTTCTGTGTGGGGTAAAGCCTGGGACTTCTTATTCTACTGTCTTATGTTCTTCACAAAATAATCTTAACATATTTTATTCCATATGCTTTCCTTTTTATTTAGTTTGAAATTCTTTTCGCTCTTTATATATTTTTTATTTTTTGTTTTCATATTTAAGTCATCTACTTTAAAGCCTACTAATGCATTATAGCTAATGAATGTTGTAGGCAAGTAAAATATATTATTTGCATCTGTTCTCTATTTTTTGTTGTTGTTGTTGTTCTTAGGGTGTTCAATATCTTCAAGTAAATTTTTTCCTAAAATCAGATATGAAATAAAAAACATAGAAATACCATACTATGTATAAATATAATAGGAAATTGGTAACGAAGAATAAGTATAAGCAATAAATTAACTATAAACCAATGTGTTGAATGACTAAGAGATAGAAAAACTTCCTTCTGATTATAATGTTCTGCTAAAGGTAATGCTATTAGAATGACAAAAGCTGAAATCAGAAGCACATAATGCCAATACATTGTTTTGTTTAAACCCCAAAACATTGTTTATTGAAGGCTGATACTCATGGATAGAAATGTCAAAGTGCAAATACATGCGCCCTTCTATATGGATCCTGCATAAAGATACACTTGGCTTATGATTTAGGTGAATGCACTTTGAAACTTTGTCTTTGGTGAAGCACCCCATTTTTGTTTCTTCCACATATATATGGTAAGTTTAGGAGTAGCCTTGCTAGTAAAGAATAAATTATTTACTTGGTTCTAGCTGTTTACAAACTTGCTGGTGACTAATTGCTAGAAAGAAGCTGGGACTTTTTGTGGACCCTCCATTTTACATCCCCTCCTTTTGGTTCTGTAGGAAATTGAGTTCAGGAGAGTTACTACAAATGAAGTGAAAATCCTACTTTTTTTTTTCCAGACAATTTGGAGAGAACTCCCTGAAATATTCACTGTGCAATTCTACTTTTCTGCATATTTACTGTAATTGTAGTTCATTTCTAATTTACATAAAGACCAATTAGCATGCTAGAAAATTTCTGCTTTATCTATTTATTCAAGAAAACAGGACTATGAAGAGTTACCATCTTCACATTGTGGGTTTTGTATATAATTCTACCTAGAAAAGAAGAGAAATACAGAGTAAAAAATTGCAAACGAGACTTTCATAGGCAATGACTTCAAGTGTAGCATATTACTTCTGCCTAGATTCCATTGTCTGCTTGTGGAATTCACTCATATGGATACACTTAACAGCAAGAAAGATGTAGCTAGTTCCCTTAAGAAAAGAGAGGGGTGTTCACTCAATAGCTAGACAATTTCTGCTGCAATGAAAGTAAGATATGCATTTCAGAGTTTTTCTATTCTCTTTTCAAATAATCCTCATTTTGAATTTGTTGCTGAAACATTTCCTTGAGCATAGTAACAGTTTCTTACTCACCCAACATAATTTCCATAATGCAAGTGAAAGAAAATAACTGGTAAATATAGGTTATAGTGTTACTTGTTAAAAGTGTTTTCCACATATGAAAAACTTTATTTGCATATGGTGTCCTTTGCAAAAGAAGCACTTAAGTTTTTTTTTTTAATCTCTTAAATTTAGGCATTTAAATGTAGTTAAATTCAAATTGTGATATATTTTGTATAACATCTTCAAAATTTATATCAGTATAAAAACAATTTTAGTTAAAAATCGACTGCATTCACATCACTTTAGGTCTACTCTATACACTAAATGACACAGTTATTTTAGAGTTTGTAACTTTCAGAAAGATTTTTGTTTTCAATCACATGCAGAGTGTTTAAAACAATGAATACCATGCTGTAGTTTTTTATAATGTTTCCAAAACAATAAAAACAAAAACACAATTTAAGAAGGAAAAGGCATGAAAAAAAAAATATTTACAACTAACAATAACAAATAAAAAATTAAGAAACACATTCATTTAAAATTTAACTATTGAGAGTGCTTAACGAAAAGTACAATTCATAAACTTTATCTACCTAGACATGGTTTATAATATTCAATTATCAGAAAATGTTTCAAAAATATATTACTTATACAAATATGAGTTCTCATTTGATGACTAAGGCACTTGTAGCTAAAAATATTCATATATGGAGCATATGCATTTCCTTTTATTAAACAGCAAAAGGCATCAAAGAGGAACTTTGTCACTTTACATAAAACATTTTGTTTCTAACTGTTTAAAAAGATTGAATTGGGAGTTACAGTTCAAGTTGAGATTTGGTTGGGAACATGGCCAGACCATAACTTTATGTAAATTATTTGTGTTGTGTTCAGTTTTTTACTTGTTTGTACAGAATGACGACTTCTATGCTTCTTACATGCTGGACTAAAAACTGAAAACCATATGTATTTTTCAAAGGATAACTCCTTTTGAAAATTATTCAACTAGTAAGACCTACTGTCTGGGTAAATGTTGCAAATATTTATACAGTCTTCTTTACTCATAATGAAAATCTAAAATATTTATGGTGCTCCATATCAATTCATCACTTCTGCCAGTAAGAGAGAAAGTGAGAAAGAGAAAAATGAAGACACATAGACACACACACACATGCATACACAGAGAGAGAAATAGCTAAAAAGATTAAGAAATGATGAAAGTATCTAAAACCCAGTACATTTGACCAGGTTCTAGGAAATAAAGGTAAAAAACTAAACTTATGAACAATTTTTATAAATGTATATATGTGCATATATATATATATATATATGTTTGTACATATGTGTTTAAAACTATACTGAGTTTTAAATATAAATATAAATATCTAACAGATGCCACTGCATTTCCCTTTAGGGACAGAAACTGTGATCTTCCTGAAAATTGGATATATTATAACCACTGAAAATTTGACTCAAACTTATTTAAATTATACCTTAAACTCAATTTATTTTTAATTCCTCAAAAAAATTCAACAGAGAATTTCTCACCATTATCCAAAATTGCAATACCCTTCTATAGTTGCATAGCTTGGAAAACATTATTTTAACTTTTACAACAACCTTCCATCACTCACTTTTCTTGCCAACTTCTACTCACCTCTCCAGGCCAAGATCATTTGTCATTTCTTTATCATAATCAGCTTCCACAACCATGCTTTAATTTACCATGTTTTTAACCCTTAACAGATTGTTAAATCATGGTATATGAAACACATTGTTTATTAAACTCAATTTTTAACCTTTAACACATTGATTTATTATGTTTGTGTGTATGATTTAACAAATACGCTCTGAGACCTTAAAGGTAAAGAAGCATATTATTCATTTTTAAATTTATACATAAGATGCAGAATCACTGTTCATTATTAAAAAATAACTTTAATACTGTATTTTAGTTTAAATAGCAGCTCTTCAGAGAAAAGAAGTGAATGTAATAGATAGAGTAAATAAAAATTAAAGTAGTTATTGTCTAGACTTCTTTGTATATTTCCATCATGTTTAGTACAATGAAAAAATACTGAAATTTTTGTTTGTATTCTATTTTTGCCATGACTTTCTTTGCTTTTTCAACAGTAACTAAGTTTGTACTTATGACATTACTCAAAGGTCCTGTGATAGTTCACTTAACCAACCAATCAACAAAAATATTATAGTCAGATTGTGTTTTTCAGAGGATGCTGTTATAACATATGAAATATTTTCCTCCCAAATTCCATGTAGGCAGTGTTTTACACGGTAGCTTGAGTGCTCACTTAGAATTTATAATAAAATGATGTTCCACATTTCATATACATTAGGACTGCTACTATTATAAAAAATAAAATATTAGTTGTTGGTAAATATGAAGAAATTGAAAATTGTATGCATTGTTGGTGAGAATGTAAAAAGAGTTATTACATGATCTAGCACCATCACTTCTGGGTACATAAGCAAAATAGTGAAAAGCAGGCACTGGAACAGATACTTGCACACCCATGTTCAAAGCAGTGTTATTCACAAGAGCCAAAATGTGGAAGCATAAAGATATGAAATGATACCCAAAATATGCTATAAATATACAATGAAATATTATTTTGCCATAAAAGAAATGACATCATACTAACTCATGGATGAATACTGAGATCTTGAGGACATTATGCTAGGTAAAGTAAGTAATCCAGGTACAAAAACACAAAATATTATATGAGTTCACTTACCTGGTGTATCTAGAGTTATCACAATCATAGACAAACGAGTAGAATGGTGGTTGTCAGAGCCTGGGGAGAAAACATGGGGGAAATATGAAATGACTGTTTAATGGGTGCAGAGCTTCAGTTTTGCAAGATGAAAAGTGTTCTATAGATAGATGTTGGTGATGGCAACACAGCAATGTGAAAGTATTTAATGCCACTGAACTGCACACTTAAAAAGTTTAAGGTGGTACATTTTATGTTATGTGCATTTGATCACATTTTTAAATTAAAAAATATAGTGATATCCTGCATTATTATAACTTAAAATTATTCTCCATCACTTCTACTTTCAAATGTACCATTGTTTCCTCCTGCCTCACCACCTGCTAATTCAATTAGTTATCTATCCAGCCAGGCTAATTTTGTTTAATTTTCAGGACATTTCACAGTCTTTCTTGTCTGTGACTTATCTTGCACAGCTATTCTCTCTGTTTCAAACTCTTTTTATAATCCATCCCAAATTGATTCCTCTCTCTCTCTCATTTTATCATTCAGTTTTAATATCAACATCATTTTTCTCAAGGAAATGTTACCTGCTCTTCTTCTCTCTTATAATTCTGATAGAACTATATAGTTTTTCTATAATCTCACTCTATGGCAATTGCTTGTCTCACAATGTAGGTCTCTCAACTAAACTCAACTCCTGTAGAGTAATGAGTCT